TCTTGCAACACTAACACTAAACATTCTTCTTGTCAGACTTTTCTTTTCCCTTCTAGACATTCTTCTGCCTATCAGAGCTTGAAGCTTCTGACCTTTGACCACCATTAGTTTTCTTCCTGACTTCTAATCAAGTCTGCTTCTGATACTTCTTATCAGAAGTTACTTTCAGAGCCTGCTGCTATACTTCCCTCTCAGAAATTCTCTCAGTCATACACAACTCATGCGCCTCTAGACTACTTTACAGCTCTTCAAATCTCATAGTGCTCGGACCTTTGAAATGTTCAATTGCTACCATAATATAATCAAACTGAGAAATTAAAAATCTCAAATCTTCTCAATGATTACTTGTTTAGAAAGAGTTTACCCATAAGCTTTCATCTCATTAGTGATCAGAATCACTCTAGAGATGTACTTAGAAACCTTCTTGTTGTCCTTCATATTGAGATTCTCATATTGCTTTCTGAGAGACTGAAGCTTCACCATCTTCACTGATGCGTCACCACCGTAATATCTGACCAGTGTGTCCCACGCAGCCTTTGTTGTTTCAGAGTCAGCAATCTTCTCAAACACATTCACATCCACACATTGATGGATATAGAACAATGCCTTCTAATCTTTCTTCCTTAGCGCCTTATGTGTAATCTTCTGCGCCTCTATCGCGTCTGCTGCTAACAGATCATAGTCATCGGTGACAAGATCTAACACATCTTGAGAGTCAAACAACACACGCATCTAGATCTTCCAACGATTCTAGTTTTTGCCATCAAACACTGAAAGTTTGGAGTTGATATCAGTGTTTCCATTCATCTTCAACCTTGTGCAATTCATACAAAAAAACTCTCTAAAACACAGTGTTTTCCAAATCCCACAGAATCAAAAAAACGATTCTCAATCACACAATACTTCACTGTTCACTCGTGTTTTCCGTTTTTCCCTGTAGATTTCGAACCGGTACTCTGATATCAATTATTGATACATAAAATAGAGATGAAAGGCAAAAGAAATATATTGAATAACAGTTACAAAATAAAGAATTACATTAACCTACCTATTACTAGGCTATTTATATACATAATTAGCGTATAATAAAATACTAAAATATCCTCTAACAAACTTAATCAATAAGATATTTCTAAAATATAAATTAATTCTAACAGTTGAAAATGTTTTTAAACTTATTAACCACCACCTTGCTCACAATCTTCTAATTTGCGTTGCAATGAAATATAAGTCGAAATAGAATGAGATATAAGTCGAAATAGATCACATCAATGAGATTAGCATAATGCAACTCAAGGTTTAAACATATTATTCTAACAAAGTCACAAATGTCAAGGTGAATGTGAAAACACCTTTGTGTAATTATTCCCACTTGCTATCTACAAAAAATACTCATAAGATTAAGAGATAGGTAAAACCCATTAAATGAATATTTTAGTATCCACATAATATATATAAAGGAAAAAGATCAATCGCTGCTCTTTTACTTATGCCATCCCTCCTGCCCTTCATCTAATGACTTGAGAGTTAATTTAAGAAAAATGAAATTGTTTTGAAAAGAAAGATTTATGCAGATTGACTAAGATAGAAGCTAAATGGGCAGCACCAAAAAAAAAAACTAGAGAGGATCTGGTCCACTATTAAACTTGTATCCATTTGAATATAAATATTGATTAATTTTAACTCCCTCTATTCCAAAATAAGTATCACATTAAAAAAATAAATTATCCTAATCTTTCAATTGTACCATTTAATAAATATTCATAATTTATTATTTTTCTGTGTGAAATGATCAACTAAAGAATAAGGATACGGCTCCGAACATTAGTAATATCTATGTAACATTAGTAATATCTATGTGGATATCAATTCGGATACAAGAATTTTTTCAAATCACAAATATGGAGCAGATACTATAATTCTTTAATCATACTCTATCCATTGTCATCCTTACCTTTGTTAAATAAATCACATTTCGTGCCAAAGCATTTTCTAGATCATTTACATAACTAATTAAATGTGGATGCTTTTTGCAAATAGTTTCTAAATCTTTATTGTGTATAGTTTTTAAATCTTTATTGTGTATCATACAACAAGAACAGAATCACTGATACCATGCATGAGATGAACCTGAATGCAAACACAGCCATGGTATCACCGATACCACAGAATGCATCAAAACAACCCTCCTTCCCATAAGCTGCAAGAGGTAGAGTTGTTTTCTCTTGCTTCAACTCTAACATAAACAAGTCGCCTGAACCTTATTTATTGATTGCCAACCACACAATGTTTGCTAATGTGCAGTAAAGACATCAACAATCTAGTTTTATCCTTGTAATATGTCAATTAGAGTCACAAAATAGTGTTATGCTGCCCAAAATATTGGGCCAAAAAAATAATGCTATGCAGCCCATCTAGTTGGTAATCATGCAGATCATTGAGAGAAATGCCTAATACACGATCACAAAACATGTAACTGCTTTACTAGATTCTAAAACCCACGTCAAAAGCTAGCATGCACGTCAAATGGCCCTTCGAGAAAAGGTATCAAATTCCATTTAAATCAATTAAGCCCCTTGATTGGTACCATAACCCACACAAAAGTTGCCTGCCTTTCATTCCAGTAATCCCGTAAAACATGCCCCGTGATCTACATGCCCAAACTGGGTGCATTGTGGTATCATGTTTGAGTATTCATTCTGATTCCATTTGATCACCCACCCCCCAGAAGCACCCTTCAAAATTATCATCTCAAGACATCATTTTCATGAATCAACAAGCGCTGATGGTTTTAATAACACCAATACAACTCAACATTGTGGTATTCAAATGTAAAAGTGGTTAATAATGTGAATGCCTAACCTTTTAAGAGAAACAATCAAGCATGCCAGTGCATTATATCTTGCTATTGGTCCCATGCATTATCCTAACATTAGCATTTATATTTCATGAACATATGTTACAAAACATTTGTGTTACTTGAGAAAATGATACAAAAAAATAGCTCCCTTCACTAACTAGACATTTGAGGGTCCAAACTGGAATTCAAAAACCTCGGAGGAAAAGGGCAATGCGGTCTTGGCCGATCCACTCCAAATAGAAAATGGGACAGGAACCACCTCAAAAATCATTAGAAAAAACAGCCAATAATGATCACAAGATTTATGTCAACAACAGCGCAAACATTCACAAGGATTGATACATAATCCATCAAAGTTATAAGATAATGCAGAACTCGCAGTGATAACAAACACACAAGTTATTTGTCAGCAGAGGTGACTAATGAAGGGGAAAACAAAAAAGAAACACCAAATTATAGCAAATTTAATTGTTGCCCATTTCTCTGAAGATATTTATTTATCTCCTCTAACTCAAACAAAGAACACCACATACACAAGAGCAGCACAGTGCAAGACAAGGTAAACAACCAAAACATTGTGTTGTGCTTTTAACCTTCATATATCCTACTTTTAGGTCAAGAGACATAAAAGAATCAACAATTGTGACTTCGCTTCATCCCTGATCTTGCTTTCCTTTCTTACGAGCTTTGGCGATCAATCATCAATCATTAGCTCAAATACTTTTCTTGTTATAATAATGGCTAGTTAACAACCACTTGATGTGTGCATGACAAAGCTTTATTGTGTATTACACAAGCCAAATTAAAATTTTAAAAATCATGAACTGTGAAAAATACGAAACATCCTTTGCTTTTTCCCTACTCTGAAAATATATTTTCAGAAATAGTTAAGTCTTTTTTTAAAATACCATCATTGTGTGTTTATGTATAAAAAATATGGATTTATGCACACATAAATGGCATTGCAATTGCCACATCAAGTTTGAGCTTGGATTCCCACAACAAACAAGGCAGACAATCACCAAAGGAGGTGTTTACACAACTCTACTAAACTGATTTCACAGAAGTCTGATGTGAAATTAGTTTACAATCAAAAACCAGAAGGATATGTAAAAATAAATAAATAAAACAAAACACGAGCCTGGCCATTATAAACATATACTAGCAAATAACGAGGTAAAAAGATAAAAGATCAAAAATAAATTGAGGTATCATCATAACAACCACGCATAGTACATATATGCACGTAGAGTCATAGACAGTGATAGCATGTTTCAACTTCAATGTAATGCACCTTGCAACTTGATCAAGAACTTGGCAAACTAATTCAGGAAGGAAAATACTCAATAAAAAAGTTCAACAAAATTACCACATAATCACTACATAAAAAACTACACCATGTTATGTAAGCCTTAACTAGCAGCTAGAGCAAATAGGAGCACAACACATAGAAGCAGAGGTAGTGAAGCAGCAACAAATAGCAGTCCATGTAACCAAGACCAAAAATTTCATTGTCTGCATGCACGAAATCAGCACAACCATTTAAAGCACAAGCGCCCAAGAAGCCATCACAAAGCTGAACGAAACACCTATTCAAAACTCAAACCAATAATTAACATTCAAAAAACAGTGAACTGTCAAAAATAATCATAATCACTAAAAAGTTAAAGTCAATCAACAAACAAATAAATGGAACAAGATAAATTTTGCAGAAAGATATCAATCAAACCCATTTAACATTGCCAATAAATCTATATAAACAAATTGACAAGATGGAGGCCTTTGTAACAAGCACACCCATAACAAACTTCACTTGTTTAAAAACCATCAACTTTTAAGTCACAGCTAATAGTAACAACATATTTACTGACCAATAGGGGCATAGAGTTCTCACAAACCAAACAAAATTTTGATAGACATTAACACATATTGGAAACTTTGAAAACATGATCAATTAATAAGTGAACCTAAATCCATTTTTTCAAAAGACAGTTGAAAATAGAATGCAAATAAGAAACTACAAGACAACCTCAAAACCAAAAACTAATACAGGCAGCCACAAATTGCCTACAAAGCAAAAAGCAGAAAACCAAACATATTGCATACAAAACAAAATTGAAAACAAAGCACAAAAACTACCTCAATAATAAGGTGGCACGCCTTGGTACATTCCTCCGTTAGGGGGTCTCTGCATCGGCATAGGCTGTTGCGGGTAACCATACTGTGAACCATCCGGATATCCACCAACAGAGGGAGGATGCGGCCTTGGACCGTTAACAGGCCCGGGTCCAGGAACTGGACCGCCGTACTGAGGAGCACCTGCACCAATTCCTGGTCCATACCCACCACCAGAAGGAACCTGATTACCATAAGGCGGTTGCCCATAAGCATTAGGAGGAGCACCATACTGCGGCATCATTGCTGCATTAGGAGCATGATAATTAGAGTTAGAATTATCCACCGGAAAACCTGATGGGTTTTGATTCCCGGGTTTCGGCTTCTTGTTATCCACAGCCAACTTGCAAATCACTTGGTGACCATCAACGGTTTTGACAGACTCCACCAGTGAATTCCTTGCACCCTCTTCGGTTTTATACACAAAGAAAGCAAAGCCTCTTGTTTTCCCACTAGCTTTATCAAACCCTAACGGCCCCTCTTCGATTTCACCGTACTTGGAAAACTCGCTCAATAGACTCTCTGCTGACACTTCAAAAGGAACGTTACCTACAAATACCTTACGAGCAGATACATCCCCGCCTGTAGAACCCGCACCCGCCGCTGCAAGCTGCGTCACCGTCATCCTCCCATCTATCTTCTTGCTCGGCTCCTTTAGGGCAAGAATTGCACCGTCGACATGTCGGAAAACAACGAAGCCGTATCCCTTAGACCTGCTAGTCGATTTGTCGAATATAACGATTGCTTCGTCCAGGTCACCGTACGTAGCGAATACAGCACGGAGCGTCTCACTGGTGGTATCGCCTGAGAGGCCGCGGACGAAGAGCTTCCGGCGTGAGGTATCACGGTCGGCAACGGAGCGTACGGCGTCGAGGACATTGGGGTGTTGGAGGGCGGCGGACTTAAGAAGGTCGAGTAGCTGGTCTTGCGTGAAGGGCTGGAGAATCTTGTGGATGTCTTCTGGGGTGAGGGTTGATGTGACGGCGGCGGTGTCGTTGGAGGGAGGAGGAGAATTGGCGTCGCCGTTTCCTTCTGTTTTGCGCTTCTTGGAGAAGTCCATGGCGGTAGATCTTAAAGAGTGGATTTTTAGGAATTAGGGATTTGAAAACAAGAAGATGAAGTTAGGTTTTACGAAGTGAAACAAGACAATACTCTACGTTACTCGTGTACCACAACACAAACATATATATATAATAATCATTTAAATGAAATAAATTGAATAACATATCCGATCTTCTTTTATTTTAATTTCTTTTTAGAATTTTTTCTTATTTTAGTAATTGTTATATTAAATACTAAAAATTATAGCTTGACATTCCAAGCTTGTTGTGAATAACCAAAGGAGGAAGGAAAGGAAGCAAACAACTCCAAACAAGACGATGAGAGCTAGGCAATTCCATTATAGCAAGTTTATCTATGTATTGGTTATCCTCCTAGAAGATGTGAGGAGTAAGAAAGTTATAGATCTCAACTTAACTTTGCAATTCATCCGTATAATACGAATGTTTTAAGGAAGCATAAAAGAGTCTGGCATAACAAGTAAATCCATGGTAGAATTTGTCTCTAATCAAATCTTTGATCAATCAAATTGACAAGCAATGTCAACGCCCTAATAACACCTAGGAGTTCAGCCTAAAATGAAGGGTTGCACTCCACCATATCAGCAAAAACATATGCAAAATTACTATGGAATTGTTAAACGAACCTTCATGTGAAGCAAAGGAAGGGGAGAAAGATTCACTTGTGTTGCACTTAAGCCAATCACCATAGGAAGGTTGTCACAAAATTTCAATAATTCTTAGAGCTTTAGGAGGATGCATTTGGATCTTGAAGTTTTTGATGATTGTGGAATCCTTAATATATGAGTTGGATGTCTTCTTGGTTATTCTGCCTACGAAGGAGATCTCTACATGGATGAGGTTCACTCTTTTATTCCAAACCAAGCTATATGGTAATATAATCTAACTTGATTCCTAGTGTGTCATACTATGTTGATGATAACAACTATTACAGTTTGAACCACCACTTTATATTGGTTGTATCAATTCATGTCACACAACATTAGGATCTCAACAATATTATAAGTGACAGATGTCGCGCCGCGAAAAAAATACATAGTCGCCACCGAACTCTATTTATCCCGAATGAAGGGAAGATATCGAGAGAACCCCAAAGAAATGGATAAGATGGTCTTGCGACCAAGAGAAAGTGTACGGAAGTCAGTTACACGAGGGGAAGGTATTAGCACCTCTTGCGTCTGTGGTACTCCATAGGATCCACTTTTGTTTGCTCTAATCTAAGGGTGTGTAAAAATCTATGTTTAAACCTTAATTCCAAGAGGGAATGCATGTGAAAGAAAACACGGGAAAAAGAAAGAATATTTACAAAGTTTTGCTCGCCTAGGCCCCACAACCTAATGCCTATGTATCCCTTTCGAGGAATCAGAGTGTTGCAGTTCGGCTCACATGTTTCGGTTTGTTGTATGTTATTTATCTTGAAAATGGTTTTGAAGTAAAATTCAAGTGGTAAAATGAAGTTTGAATTGATTGATGTTTTTTACCTTGAAAAAGGGTTTTTGTATTATTATAGTGTTTTTATGAGTTTAAAAGAAGAAAAAAAGAAGTTTTAGTTTTAATGCAAATGCAAAAGAGAAGGAAAATGGTCTAGGGGAGACTAGCAAAGTAAGTCTAAAATTGTCATGCATAGTTTACAATCTAAGGTCTATCTCAATTCACTTCCTAAGATTGAATCGAGAAATCATACGAGAGCATGTAAACATGCAATAGAAAGTAAACACACAAAGCTTGAGGAGTATCCATTGACTCAAGTAGCACACGCCTAACCGGTGTATCATGTTACTAAGAAAGGAAAGGGAGAGGGATCACGCCTAACCATAATATCGAGTCATCAAGGTAGGACAAGGGAGAAGGGGCACCTAACCATGATATCGAGTAATCAAGGTAGGATAAAGGGGGGCTTAACCAAGATATTGAATCATCGAGGCAAGCGGGAATGGGGGAATAGGTAGTTCTTAACCATGATAGCACCTCATCATGGAAAGAAGAATAAAGGGGTGTCGACTCTTAACCAAGATATCGCGTTATCTATGAAAGAGAAGAGCGAGAGTGAATCGTCATAAGCGACTAAACACATAACTAAGGTATCACGTTATCGAGGTAGGAGATAGAATATAATAATGAGATCACATTGGAGCGTCAACGTACATGGCACGCGAGCTAATGACAAAGCATGGGGGTTGGTTGCAAACTCTTCTCCACTTAATCGACTCGATACAAGAATAACACGATTCGTAGCATCGATGTATGACACGAGCTACAAATGACCTGTGGACTAGAAATAAATTGTAGGGATCGATTGCAGAACCTTTTCCACTTGCCTTCTTTGAGGACTTATCAATGGATAATGAGAATGGGACGCCTTGTTTGAAGTCTTTGGTACAAATGTAAACACACAGAATGGTAAACAAGCAAGCACAAGTAGAAATTTCCTTCTAAAGGTCTTTTAAAATAGCATTGTCCGAATAACGCAAGGACTCCCACAACATGCATCTCTAGTCCTACTTCTCATGGCAAAGAAAACGGTAAACGATGCAAGAGATAAAAGGAAACAAAGGCAAATACCAATTGAACGCAAGTTCGTCAATTATTAGACGAAAGCAAAGAAACTCAAAAACTTCGTGCAAGCTTCACCAAGCAATAGAGAAACCGTCAGAAAGAATATCCAATAGCAGAAACAATGTCGCAAATGCGAAAATAAATCGCATGCGGAAAGTCTATCGCATCGAATCATAGTCCCTGCACAAGATAATGCTATACAAGAAAAGCAATATTCCAAATGTTGTGTGTCGCACGACAAAGCCTTCAAAAACTCACACAAGTCATAAATGAGTTAGCAAATAACAACGCAACATAAACTAAACTCAAGTATCAAAATACGACTCAAAAATAACAATGAAATGCGAAGGCACAAAGTGAAAATAAGTAAAGTAAGGTGAAAACCAAAAGTCGGGCAGAAACACGCGCATTCAAGGAATGGCTCAAAATCTCAAGTCGAAAACACAACAACTAATTATCAATGGCTTACAAATGCTCGAATGCAATTAAGAATGCATCAATCAATAATCGGAACATGAATGTACATGCATTTAAAAACCCCGGACAGCATTGTTCCATAATTTGAGGTGCAAAAAAGTTGGTTTAAAATCACTTGGAATCGTCACAAATATCATACATGAACCAAAGCAAGTGCAATGAGGTATTAACCAACAATAAAATCAAGCTTTAAGACTCATTTGCAAATCCGGGCAGCACTATATCAATCCATAAAATTGCTCAAAAACTTGAATTAAAAACGGAAAAACTCAATGCCAATAGTCAACAAACGTCCTATTATGAATAAAGATGTACTGAATGCAAATTGAAACGCAAAACACAAGCTACCTCCTTATTCCGGGCAGCAACTCATTAAACTCATGAAATAGCTTGAAAATCGAATTTAAACAGTTAAAACTCCACTCCGGTATCACACAATAACCAAAACAATGTCAATTATGTGTTAAACAACAATTAAATCATCAATTACAATGCATGGGATTATTCTTGACAACATTACGCATGAGTCGATGAACATCAAAAATTAAATTCGGAAATTCATTCACACATATCAAAAACAATTATTCGACTCATGAAACCTCGTCTAAAATTCTCAAATGAATTGTAATGAAATAAATCCATATCGGTACCAATTAAATCCACCTCAAGTCAAAAATTATTCTATGCGTCGAAATCAACTAAACGTATCAAAATTCGATTCCGATACGAAAGTCAACAATTGTGCACAAGGCACCAAATCGAAATTCGATTTCGACACATTAATTAGTAATTACAAGCAATTTATCGATTCCTACACGTAAAGCTTCATGAGATTCTCAAACAATTAATCAACTCCACATTTAACATCATAAAAAAAATCAAGAATCAAGTTTAATCCGCAATTCTCAAATAAGCACTTATCATAAAATTAATTATTCAAATAAGTGCTTAATTCCTCAACTCAATCAATTCCAGATTTATTCAACATCACAACTGAATTATCAATTGATTTCAAAAATTAAACAAGATTCAACTCATGAACAATTAATTTGCACTTCAATTCACATAAACAATTATGCAAGTAATCAATTAAATCAACTAAGGATTCAAGAGTTTACCGGAGTTGAAGCTTGAAACGGTGGAGAAGAAGCTGGCTGGTAAGCTTGCGGAACAAAGGGAGAAAACGTCAGAATTGTGGCGTAAGGGCGGAAGAAACTGTGGAAGTTCGCGGTGAGGATGGAGGGCACGTCACGCGCGGAAGAACAAAAACCAAAAGAGGCGATCGGAAATCCTGGTGGTGACCGGTGGTGGTGCGCCAGAGAGGAAGATGTTTTCGGCGGTGAATATTTGAGAGGAAGAGGATGAGTTCTTGGAGGGAGTTTTGTGATTTGAAACTTGTTCTTCTTCTTAAGTTTGAGAGAGAGAGAGAGAGAGAGAGAGAGAGAGAGAGAGAGAGAGAGAGAGAGAGAGAGAGAGAGAGAGAGAGAGAATTTTTAGAGAAATTTTTGTATAGCTATGAATGTGAAATTTAGCAAATGAATTAAATGTTATGAAAATAGCGAGGAAAAATCAATATATAGTATTGAAAATTAAGCGTTGGTTTGGACCAAGAGAAATCTCAATCAATCTCTTCACAAAGCTTAATTTTTCAGTGTCAGCAAACGTATTTGAATGGAAAATCCACAAACTCAATGATAATCGGTGCGTAATCTCGACGCGAGATCAACAACAAAATCATTGATGATAAAATTTGTGACATCATTCTGAAAGAACAGATGCGATATGATAAAAATAGAGCGGGTTATGAATTTCCGAGTGACGAGAATATTTGACACTAACACTGTCTTTTTAAGTAATGCAAAATTTTCTATTTTTCGGTTTGAGAAACGAGCCATGAACTGAAGTCTTCGGAGCTGAATATGAACTTGGGCTCTGAGGAAAACTTGTA